CATCTGCAGATAGGATATCCAGAGAGGATCTGATGCGAGTATTAGAAACAAAGTACTGAGCACCAGATATGGCTCTAAGAGCTTTGTTGTGAACCACTCTAATGCGGCTGAATTGGGTCTCGGATAGAAGAGCACCCCATACAGGTAGCGAGTATTGCCATAGTGGGGCAACAAGCTGCTTGTATATGATAGTTTTAGTTTTCATAGATAATTTACTATCTTTATTTACGAGCCAATCTATCTTTTTAAGCCTAGCCCTAACCCTAGTAACGACCGTAGTGACATGTTGAGTGAAGCGCAGTCTAGAATCTAACGTAACGCCCAGATATGGATGTGAGGTGCTATTCTCAATAGTTTCGTTGCCAATGCGAATAGCCTGGTATGGCGCTATAGGTCTGAGTGAATGCATGATGTGCGTAGTTTTATTTGCATTAATAGTAATGCACCACTTGCTTGCCCATTCGGCCAGAATATGCATGTATGCTTGCTGTTGATTAAGCGCATCTGTTTGTCGATAGTTAGCTGAGAGAACAATGACGTCATCAGCGTAGGTGGCAATACGAATTCCATGTAAGCAAGTTGGGCTTGGTATATCGCTGGTGTATATATTATACAGAACTGGCCCAAGCAGGCTGCCTTGTGGCACACCAGCATGAATCTGCCTGACTCCTGAGCAACATCCACCGTGGCACTCAACAATAAAAGAGCGATCTGCTAGATAGCAACAGAGAATGCGATAGAGTGCAAACGGCAATAGTGACTTGAGTTTGTATTTCAAGCCTGTATGCCACACTCGATCAAAAGCTTCTTTAATGTCCATATAGACAGCAGAGCAGTATTTATGGTCATCAAAAGCTTTAATAATATACTGGGTGACTCGACCCAATTGCTGTTCAGCTGAATGTGCCTTGCGGAATCCGAATTGATGGCTTGGAATCGCATTTACAAGAGTATCTTGTTCCAGCATACGGCTCAATATCAGGTACTCGAGTATCTTCGAGAGGCCAGATAGGAGGCTTATTGGCCTGTATGATGAAACATGTTGCGTAGGCTTGCCAGGCTTATGCACCATCTTCACCATCGCTAGCTTCCAGCAAGAGGGGAAATGACCCAATCTAAAAGAGTTGTTGCAGATCAGAACAAGATACAGAATAGCCTTCATTGGCAGCGCTTTAATTGTGTGGTTGTCAATTTGATCCAGACCAGCCGCTTTCTTGTTCTCTAGCGTGCTGATGTGACTGATGACTTCAGCCGCAGTGACTGGCCGAAATAAGACTGAAGGAGTCGCAGATAGCTGGCTAACTTGAGCCTCAATCTCAGCCAGATCACTGGGTGACGTGGTCACAATGGGATGGAAACGCTGCTCAAGACTTGCAGCAAATGTTTCAGCCTTCTCGGCAGTAGTCTTGCACCAGACGTTATGAGCGTTAGAGCCATTGCCACTGGAGGACTTCAATAGCGGTAGATTTGGGGCAGGCTGTCGCTTGATTTCATTGGTCAGTCGCCAGAGTTTCTGCATACTATATCTATCAGTTGGATCGATAGATCTAAATAGCTCTTCCTCATACTTCTGCCTAGCATCTATAAGCTCTTTGCGTATGCGATTCGACAGCCTGTTACAGAGCTGCTTCGCCAAAGGATTGCGATTTCGAAGGAGATAACGCTTGATTTGCTTGCGGGCCTCGATAAGTTGCAGAGTCTGTCTATTTGCTCGAAATCTAGTCCTCGTTAACTTGCGCGGGTTTTGTGGATTAGCATAGTTTGCAGCATCTTCAATGTTTTTGACGAAGATATTAACAGCATCATCGACGTCATCCGCACTGCTGATCTCGGTGTTGAGCAAGATTTTGTCGTTTAGATAGCTCTGAAATTTGCTTATGTTAGCATTCAGATGCAGAAGATGGCCTTTTGCTTTGCTAGTGATTGGCTTCTCGACCAGCTGAACTTGCAACGGAAGATGGTCAGAGCTGAGCTCGAAAGAGTCAGTGATGGCCAGCAATTCACGTCTGATGCCTTTAAAAAGCGCGAAGTCAATGGCAGACGGAGTTTGGCGTGAATTAAAAGGATAGTGGGTGGGCGATCCAGTTGCCAAAATGTTGCAATTCACTTGTAGAATACTATTTACTAGCGTGCGGCCACGGAGACAGGATCTGGCGTTGCCCCACCACTGACTTTTCGCATTCCAGTCACCGCCTACTATAAAGACATCACCAAGAGAAGTAAGTAGGTTGTTGAAATCTTGTCCAGACCAAATGGCTTGCGGCGGGCAGTAGATAGCTACAATGTTGATGTGTCTGCCGTTTTGCAGGCTGACTGAAACTTCAACAGATTGATGCGAATCATTTGATGTACAGCGCATAGCATAATGACATATATTTTGTTTAATTATGAAAGCTGCACCTCCTCTCCCTCCTGTTTGAGGGGTGGTTTGCTAAATAAACGATATAGCCATTGATAGCAATGCTATCGCTTTCAATCAGATGCGTCTCAGACACAAGCATAATGTCTATATCGTGCTTGACGAGATACAGATTGAGCTCATTAAGCTTTTTCTTGACACCAGCAGCATTCCAAAAAGATATCTTGATGTTGTTGACACGTTGAGATACAGCAGGCTGCAGTGCAGCGCTGCGTCTACTGGCATTTGGGGAAGTGGATACATTGTTAGACATTTGAACGCTCATTGGGACCAAATTGGGCCAACAGGCAGGCCGTGAGGGTGGTCATCATCTCAATGAGTTTGTCTATTTTAGCCTCTAATCTAAAGCTAACTTGCACTGGCATGCTTGGCATATTCGCATTTATTGGCTGCTCGAAACGATGAGAATAAACACCCCCACTATTAGGATGCGCACCCCCATCTACGTGCTGTGGACGCCTACGGCGCGTACTCAGGCTGCGGCTACGCATTGGTTGCAGCGGCCGCTGTGCGCTTGCCTGCCGCTGTTGTTGCTGCAAGAGCTGTTGTTGTTGGCTACGTTTTGTGGCTTTTTGTCTGGACTGACGTTGTTTGCTGCTAATTGCTGCCGGCCCGACAGGCTGAGCAAATTCTAAACCCGCCCGAAGGGCAGCCGAATAGCTGGGCCCACTAACTGTTTGCGGTCGTGACTGAGGGGGGACTTGCTGTAAAAGATTTGGCATATTAGTCATATTTGGCATATTAGAGCGACTGCGCTGAGCAGTTGCAGTGGGAGCAGGCTTGGCTAAATTGTTTATTAGCTTTGCTATCTGGTGTACGCCTTCATTTTCGCGCTTCTTGCACGCTTCTTTATAAGAAGGGCAACCTTTGTAGCTCGCAGCGTGTGGGCCAGCACAGTTGGCACACTTCGCTGGTGTTTGTTCGCCTTTTTGTCTGCCACAGTCCGTGGAGGCATGATTATCGCCGCACTTGACGCAGGCAAAGGGGCGACGGCAATAATTTTTAGTGTGCCCAAATTTCTGGCATCTATGGCATTGAGCAACTTCGCTGGATTTGTACGGCTTCTCAATTTTGACGCGCTGATTGCCGATGGCAGTGATTTGCATGAATTCAGCATTATTAGCACTGGGAACTAACTCAACTTCGAAGAGATCAAGCGGCTCTTTAGTGAAACGAGATTTAATGCCTCTCAAGAAGCGAACTTGATGCCCTAAATTGGCTAATTTCTCACGGATATAGTGGTCCGGAGTGGAATAGTGCAGATCTCTGATAATGGCTCTGAAGCCTCGCTCGGACTTCAACTGAAACGTGTAGTTTTCAACTTTATTCTCATCTAAGTACTTTACCAGATTGCGATAAGTGGCGATGTCCTTGCACTGGACTCTGATTCCATGGTTGGAGGTGCGTTTGACGTCATAATTGACTTGGCCGATGGCTTCATCCAGTCGAATGAGAATCGACATGATGTCCGTGACGTTAGCCAGAAATAGTTTTTTTCTATCCGTATGTTACCAGAGAACACACAATAATGATCTCCGCTTCTTCCTACCTCATACATGATCAGCTGACCAGCAGCTGCATGGCGAGGGGAAGGTAGCACGGAGATACTTTTTATTCAAACAATACTTTACAATAGCATTTCTTAAGAATATGAGTAGCGCCTATAAGATACTTAGAAGTATACAGAAGGTCAATATTTACCGAAACTTTTCATAAAATGAATTAATTTAAATGGCCATAAGTGCACAAAAATAACAGCGCAGCTTAATGTTACATAATACAGATAAAAAGAGCAATTTAAAGATAATACAAAATAATAATAAAGTGCTTGAGTAGCTGATAATAGATTAATTAGATAAATAAGATATAAATTTTACAATAGTAATAGATAGCATTAATTAATATAATTCAATTTTCTTTTTTCATTAATAAGCATCTGCAAGATGCACTGAGAAATTAGCCCAAAGTAGCTAATTGGAATTTTAGAGAAAAGTCGAGACAAAGTCTGGTCATTTTCTCCATTGTGAGTATAAGCTAAAAATAGTTATAATTGCAGAAAGTTAATAAAGATTAATAAAAATAATTATTTTCCTTACTTGTTTACATTTGAGTTGCAATGCCTAAAAGAATATGCACAGCTGTTACTATACAATGTTTGTGCAGCAATAGGTTGTTACATAGTTATCGGTGAGTTATCGAAAGTACTTACATACATGTCAAGTCAAAGACTATGAGCAATAAGAATTTACAATTTGCTAAAATTATTGATATTAAGTTCTAAAGTTAATGTTATTTAATAATTATATATAGTAGTTTTAATTATGATTAAGTTTAGTTTACATATATACAATGTATATGCGTAGCAATAATTGTGCAATATATCGCATATGTTTTCATTTAGTTGCTGCTATAGTATAGTTGCTTTAAATTAATTAAATATAGTTTAATATTCACAGGATTTAATAATTTGTATAAAAAATAGCTTTTAAATTCATTTTAGCAATTTTGATTTAACAATATCAATTCATAATATTGCAAGTGCAATTGTGCATGTGATAATGCATCCCTGGCTTTATATATGTACTTATTGGAGTACACAATCAAAACAGAACAAAGTCAGCTGATCGTAAATTGCATTAGATGCAAATTTGATGCTGCTAATTGGAATGCATAAATATAAAAAGGTAAATAAACGATATTAATAATGTTATAAATTAATGCTGATTAATTGCAGTCTTTTTATAAATATAGCTGCTGCAAAGCAAAATGAAAGGGAGCGCAAATATTGAAGACAATTGAATTGCATAGATTGCAAACTGACTGGCAAGTAAGTGAATTTTGCAAAATTTAATAAAAGTGTTAAAAGATTATTAAAATTGATTTTTTCTTTGCAGAGTACATCCACTGCAGCAAGGAGGATTAGCCAAGTGGGCTCCGCAGCCAATAGGGCATGAATTTAAGTTAGTTTTAAGTTCGTTTAAATTGCATATTGTAGGCGCAAGCGCCACTATATCTGTTCGATGCACATATGTATATACAAATGTGTTGAAAATAAACTTTTTGTGTTGTAAATAGATATCTAAATTGTTGTTATATGTTTGTTTAGTTACTCTTCCATGTAAATAGTGCAATAGTCGATTTCTAATTGTGTTATTTGTATATACAAATGACTAGTTTTAATGGCAATTAGATTTGATACTTATTTGCATGTCTGGCCTGAAGCCTCTAGGGAAGAGTAGACTTGATCAGTCCGGTAGATCATCCAGGTTGTTTTTTTTTTTTTTTTTTTTTTTTTTTTTTTTTTTTTGAATAGTCACGTCTGCTCGAGGCTGTGCCGTAGACTGACTGACTATATTTATTTATTTACTGCTATACTACTGTATAATATAGTAAATTTGTTGACGCCTACTGTGTGTAGGTCTCAAATGTGAGTGTTACATTAAATGTGAAGTGACATACAAAAGTAGTTTGATTAATTTTGTGTAAATTTGTTGACGCCTACTGTGTGTAGATCTCAAATGTGAGTGTTACATTAGATGTGAAGTGACATACAAAAGTAGTTTGATTAATTTTGTGTGAATTTGTTGACGCCTACTGTGTGTAGATCTCAAATGTGAGTGTTACATTAAATGTGAAGTGAAATACAAAAGTAGTTTGATTATGTTTTAGTGAATGTATAGATATCTTGATTAAGAATTGCATCCGGCCAGGAAACGTCATCTCTTCCGGGACTGGCATCCTGTTTGGGATTCTGTATGGAAGAACCAGTATTTTAACTGGAGCCAGGATCCTGTCTGGAACCGTCGATTTGAATAAGATTGACATCTCGACTAGAGCCAATATTTCGACTGGGAATGGAATTTTGTCTGGAGCCATCGACCTGATTGAAACCATTATTTTGACTGGAGCCAGTATCTTGCCTGAAACTATCGTCCCGCCTAAAACTGATATTCTGATATGAGTTGAAGTTCCGATTTAAGTTAACAGGATGATTAAAAGTAGAAACTGCATTTTTAGAAGGGATAGTAGCAACATATATGCAACCATGTGCCCGTCTCTGCTTGGCCTGTAATAGTTCCCATTTCCGCTTAAATATGTTTGATTGCAAGTGATTGTTGAGCATCACGGAGTAACGCTTCCACTTCAGCCGTTGCGGAATGCACGGGTAGTTACCAATTCGTCTTGCCTCAGGATTGGGATGAGCAAGAAGCCGGCTCACATATTTATAACACAGTTTATTATAGATGCTTTCAACAGTGTCTACTTGCAGATCTATATGAAGTGTGTTATTACTGACATACCACGATGCACCTGTTATTTCTCTAAGTATTTTATTTTGTGCTACTTGCAGCTTATTAAATCTGGTCTCGCATATCAGCGCGCCCCATATAGGAAGAGCATATTGCCAAATCGGCGCAATAAGCAGCTTATATAGTAATATTTTAAGTTTTAGTGGCAGCTTACTTCTAGCTCCAATTATCCACTTTAACTCTTTAGTTCTCGTTCTAAGCTTGCCAATTATATTATTAATATGAGTTTTTAACAACAGTTTGTTATCCAGCTGTATGCCCAAATATCTATGGCTAGTTTTGTTGTCAATATTATTACCCGCAATTGTGACAACACTTTGATGATCATATTGTACTTGTCGAATTGAATGTATCACATGAACTGTTTTGGAATAGTTGAGTTTGATACACCATTTTTTGGTCCATTCGTGAAATGTGTTGAGATAATGATTAAGGTGTTGTACAGCATGTGTCAAACTAATATTGCTCGAGAGAATTGCAGTGTCATCAGCATATGTTCCTAGCATCATGCGTGCAGTTGGACGTCGAACGCTGGATATGGCTGGTAGTGGCATGTCCGCAGTGTAGAAATTATACAGAATTGGGCTCAAAACGCCTCCTTGTGGAACACCAGCAGCGATTTGTTTAACACTTGATCGTGTGCCATCGAAACACTCCACTATAAATGTACGATTTTTGAGATAACTATGTAGGATGTTAAATAGTACATTTGGTAGTAACTTCTTTAGCTTGTATAGAAGCCCTGGGTGCCAGACACGATCAAAAGCTTCAGAAATGTCCAGATAGACGGCTGAGCAGAAATAATTATCTTCAAAAGCTTCCATAATGAATTGAGTGACACGACCAAGTTGCTGTTCTGTGGAATGCCGACTACGAAAGCCAAATTGGTGATCAGGCATTGCCTTACAAAACGCCTCCACCTCAAATAGCCTATTCATAATTAACTTCTCAAGGATTTTGGATAGCCCTGAGAGTAAGCTGATTGGCCTGTAGGAAGTCAGCTCATGGGCTGGCTTACCAGGTTTAACTATCATTCTGACTCTTGCGCATTTCCATCGGCTGGGAAAGTGTCCAAATCTGAGCGCACTGTTGAATATAAGAGTTAAATACAGCAGTGCCTTTAGAGGAAGTGCTTTGAGTGTCCAGTTATCAATGAAGTCTAACCCAGGAGACTTCTTAATTTGAAGATCATTGATTATGGTCATAACTTCCTGAACAAGTATAGGTCGAAATTGCACAGTTTGTCTACTGTCTACTCTCTGTCTAGCCAATCTAGATTCTTGGACATCCAGAGGTGGGCGTCTGCCGTCGGCCGCCACTGATCGGATCGCGGATCGCGTGTCGCCTTCAAGCCGCTCATCTGCAGACTATTCTCGGAGCAAGACTGCCCAGCGCCTCCACCATAGAACTTTCAAAGAACTTTCATTCCCTAAATTCAGCCAATTCCAGCTTCCAGTTGCATCAAATAACAAGCTCCCTCTATGGAAAAGAGAGAGTGAGTTAGATGATGCAACAGCCGGCAGATGGCTGAAAAAAGGACTGACGCTGCAACAGTCAATTTGCATCAGCAATGTGTATCCCTAATATATACCGAGTATTTGAATTTGGAATAAATTGGCGCTCAACTATGCTATCGATTATCAATTATCGATTCTTTTGCATAATTGAGCTCAATTGGCTTGCTGTGATGTTAAACAGCCACGCAGGGCTGCCACATCTTATTCGAATCTTAACATGGATGCAAACTGCTAAGAACTAAGTATGTGTGTGTATGTGTGTGAGTGAGTGAGTGGGTGAAACTTATCGATATTGAAATGGCGTCGTATGCGAAATTGTGTGATTACAAGCTAAGTGAATTTGAATAACATTATTAAAACTAGATAGAGATTAACAATTAAATAATAAAAATACTAAATATTACTAATAAAGACTAATAATACTAATATTAATATTGTAAGTGAGTGTATGTGTGTAAGTGTTTTTTGTCCAATTCTTGAACAGGTTATTCATCAGATGGCAGCTCATCCGGTGGAGGGGGACGAGCATCAAAGGCGGTGACAGCCAGTCGCCGAAACACCGGCAATCTGGCATGATGAGTGACAACATCCAAGGAGGAGGAGTACAGCTGAGTGGAATTGATGGCATCTGTTGCAGAATCAGCAACTGCAATTGCAGTTGCCATTCTAATTGGATTTTTGTTCTTATTTCCAGCATCATCTTTGGCACTGGCACTGGAAGTGGCACTGGCACTGGCAATGGAAATGGCACCAGCACTAGCATTAGCACTAGCACCAGAATTGGCATCATCATCAGAATCGGCATCGACATGGACATCAGATGGTCTCGCACCAATGCCTGAATGTTGACTGGCATTAAAGCTGACAGTGGCACCAGCAAT